AACCGTGCTGGTTGTCATTTATAAGCCTGTATCATTCTAGGTGCTCCACCACTCTCCTCCTGATGATCTCCATGACTCTGCATACTATACACGTCAGTGACACAGGTCTGTAGCTTAATGCCTCGTGTCTGTCTCCTTTCTTAAAAGTTGGGACTACATTTGCCATCTTCCATACCTCAGGAAGTTGCCCAGTTTCAGTGGATGTGTTGAAAATTTTTGTTAATGGCACACACAGCATCTCTGCTCCCTCTCTAAGGACCCAGTAAGAGATGTTTTCTGGTCCCACCACTTTTGAGGTATCAAGTTCGCACAGCAGCTTCTTCACCTCCTCCTCGGTTGTGTGTATTTCATCCAGCACTTGTTGGTGTACCTCCCTATTCTGAATTCCTGGAGTCCTTCCTGTCTCCACTGTGAATACTTCTTTAAATCTCATGTTAAGCTCCTCACATACCTCTTGATCGTTTCTTATGAATTCCCCCCCTTCCTTCCTCAGCCTGATTACTTGGTCCTTGACTGCTGTTTTCCTCCTGATGTGGCTATACAACAGCTTCGGGTCAGACTTGACTTTCAATGTTATGTCATTTTCGTATTGTCGCTGAGCATCCTTTATCTGTGCATATTTGTTTGTGGCTCTTCAGCTAATCTCTTTATTTTTCTGGGTCCTTTGTCTTCTGTACTTTTTTCATTCTCTAGTGCACTTAGTATTTCTGTTTCCCTTGGGAACAAACCTCCTCCTCTGCCTCCTTGCATTTTGTGATCACACAGTCCATTTCTTTTACTGGTTTTCTTGCCAATTCTCTCTCCCACTAAATGTCTTGTAGGAAGTTCCTCATGCCTGCGTAGTCCCCTCCCCTCCCTTTTGTAGTTTGGTTTGCTTGTCCTATTCCTGCTGTCCTCTCTACTTGTAGCTCAACTATGTAATCAAAGCACAGAACCACATGATTACTAGCTCTAAAGATCCTTTCATATATGACATCGTCGATATCTGAACTACTCAAGGTGAATACTAGGCCCAGTCTTGCTGGATCATCCTCATCTATTTCTATGATAGTGTCTTTAACATGTTGATGCACGAGGTTTTCCAGTACCACATTCATCATCTTGGCTCTCCATGTTTTGGAATCCCAATGGGGCTCCAGGTTTCCCAGTCAATCTCCTTGTGATTGAAATCACCCATAACTAGTAACTTTGCTCACCCCATGTGGGCTCTTCTGGCCATCTCGGCTAGTGTGTCGACCATTATTCTGTTGCTCTCATCGTATTCTTCTCTTAGCCTCCTGCAGTTCTGTGGCAGGTTGTACATTACTGCAATTACCACCTTATAGCCCTCAGACTGGATTGTTTCTATGTAGTCCCTTTTGTCTATTCCATCTATTCCCTCAAATCTCCACCAGTGCAACTCCTCCTTCCCCTCTCCTCCCTCTCTCTTTCCTGAGGATTTGATATCCGGGTAGAAAGATTGCATCTGTTACCCTGGCGAGTTTCATATTTGTGCTATTATGTCTGGGGATGTCTCCTTGATTCTTTCGTGCCACTCCTCACATTTATTTATTCCATCTGCATTCGTATACCAAACCTTCAACTTATCTAAAGCTGTGGTCTGGGGGGTACGTTGGGGTTGGGGAAGCGGGAGACCTGATGAGGAACTTGGGGTGGTTGCTGTGATGGTGGAGTTTGTAATGAGGTGGGTGGGGGTATTGGGTATAGCATATGTGTTTTGGGTTAGAATGTTTGGTTGCATTGGGGCTGTCCTGGTTGGGGGCTTCTGTAGGTAGTTGTGAGGGAGGTTGTATTTAAGCTTCCTCCTGAGTCTGGGTTCTCCTGACCATCTCCATCTTCTCCTCTCTTTCCTCCTTTCATCTTTGTACCCTCTCTTTCAGTTTCTGCCTTTCTTCTTGTGTTCTGTCATGGTCAAGATCCACCCTCCGGTATGCCATGTCCCTTAGTATTACTTTCTCCTACAGGATCCTGTTTCAAGCTGATTCTGCCTTGAAAATCACTGACTAGCTGGATTCTTCCTCTTGCAAACTTCCCTATTCTCAGAAAATTTGCCAGCTGTTTCATGTCATCTCATATTGCTTTCATGAGGCTTTCAATCACATTTTTTCTTCCCTTATCTTCTTGCCTCGTAAGTTTCCCCTTCAACTTCCTGGAGCCCACAAAGACCGATCTTTCCCTTTCAGTCTCCCACTGCATATCCCTATATATTCCCTGATTCGATTTAGTTGCCTCCATTGCAGCTTTCCTTTCTTCAATCTCTTCACTGTCTGTTGTCCCTAGGCCCAGTGGTCTTTCATTTTTTTCCTTCTCAGCTTTCCCTGGGTACTGCTGTGGTCTGTTAGGGTCTCTACATATAGCTTAGCTCTTTCATTTTCTACAGTCTCCTCGATTGTTCCTGATGTGATCCTCTTTTTTCCACGGGCTCTACGATGGTCTGATAGGGCCTCTGCATACAGTTTCACTCCTTGTTTCTTACAGTCCTCTTTCTTGTTTGTAACTGAGATAGCAGTTTCTGATGTCATGCCTACATTGTTCTTTAGTTCTTGAGGTTGTTTCAGATTTTTCAGTTCCTCTTCTAATCTATGTATCTTAGCCTCTGCTGCTGTGACTTGCATCTCCCACTTCTTCCTCCCTGTAGCTATCCTCTCCTCCATTTTCATGCTAAGCTTTTCTAGCTTCCTTCCCTGCTCAAGTTCCCTTTTCATGAGCTCTGCTACCCAATCTTCCTTTGCAGACTCATCCTCCAGCCCCCTGGTTTTCCATCCTGCTCTCTGGCAACCCTTTTTCTTTTGGTTGCCTCAGAATGAAAAACTATGTATTTCTGTGTGGTTGTTTTGTGGTGTGTGTGTGTGGAGGGGGAGGGAGGGAGAGGAGGAAGCTGGAGACAGTGGGAAAAGTGTGTGTGTGTGTGTGTGTGTGTGTGTGTGTGTGTTGTTGTGTGTGTGTGTTGTGTGTTGGGGTGTGGTGTGTTGTACTTAGGTAACTGAAGAAATAAGTGAAATTCAGCGTCGTAACCGTCCCAAGAATGTAATTAGTCTTCGTGAACGTGCCTTTGGCCAAAATTTCGAAGAACCGTCTCAGTGAAAACTTTAATTGATGAACGCGAGTCTTGGATGATCTTCTGTAACTTTTCGGTTCCTGACGGTGAACATACGTTACTAATACTTTCTGGGCGGAACTTATTTTAAAAGTTTGTAAGAATAGCTTTTAAAAGTTTGACAGTGAGAAATTTGCATTTGTCACGCGTTTCAATACATCAGTTTATTCACGATCTAAGCCACGACAAAAAAAAATATAATATTCTACGTTAGAATACCCCTGATCTAATCAAAATCAACCCATATTAATTTATAATTACTAGCGGAAAAGCAAAATTATTTAAACTGAGGTCTTTCGCCTGGCAGGGGGGGAAGGCATCGTCTCCCCTTAAATCGTTGGTAACCCTTCGTTATCTTCTTTAATTGAAGATGAGTTGTTACACGACAACACAATGTTTACCATTTTTGTTTTTGGCGATGGTATAGACGTAAACCAATAACATCAACTGGAAAGTTTTGTTCAAGAAACATCGCGTGCAAAATATCGATCAGACGGGCGCCTGTGTGTCTGGCCAACAAAATACGTGTCATATCCAATGATGGAAAAGTAATTTACAACTGACTCGCCATATTTGTGCATCAAATAACGTATCATGTTGCACTATTTTCATGTAACGTGCATTGTAGGTTCCTCACATTATGTGTGGCACAGAATTGTTCCTATGGGATGGTGTGATTCCCCATGTTTCGCGTCATGCCACATGATTCTGGTATGTGTGGTGTTTTATGATGCCCATGTGGCATGTATATTTTCATGGGGCACCGTGTCTCATAATTCCTATAACATGCCGTGTTTAAACGAGTCTCACGTAATGCGTCATGTGATTCTCAGATGTGTCTCATCTTAAAGAGTCATGTTAACGCTTCTTATATGCGTGTTGTGTTGTACGGCTCTCTTATATATAACTAACCGGCTCTCTAGTATATAACTAACCATTGGTTACTATTGTAAGATCATATACTATTGTAAGATCATATATATCTTAAAGTTAAGGCCTTATACCCCTTAAGAGGGAGTAAAATCTGTTTAGCCAACTCCCTTTCACTGGTTACTAAGGAACGTTATTTCTGAATAGAACTTTGTTAATGACTGTGGCGTCAACAGTGAAGGACATGTTCCTAATGAAGTACTGATGCTCTCTGAGAGACTGGAAAAAAATAATTGAGAAGCCTAAATGAGGACTAGACTTAATTTAGGCTGGATGTGGTATTTGCACACACTGTCTACCTTCTGTATGTTGGTTGGTCTCTCGGTAAGGTATACATAATTGACACGAGCGAGTATTTCGACTGGTTATACAGCCCAGTTCATATATATCATTGATTCTTCTAACTTCTGGCAGTGCGCAGGTGCAGGCCAGCTGCCTGAGGCGCGATACCTGGAATGGTTTTTTTTTTATGACTGATCTTTAACTTTTATGATTCACTTACTACACGTAATGAATTACAGATACTTTTACTGAAGAATTATCAATTTTATGTTAGTTACACTTCCACACGAGTTCGAATATTTTTTAGGAATAACAGTGAATTCTTTCACCATGGATCAAAGATTGTTGGCGGGTGTAAAATTATTTAAGAAAACCTTTTACAGAAATTTTATATCTTAGTGTATACCAAATTTTATATATTACTTTAGTTACGCAATTAACAAAATATACTTATTGATCGTTTAATATTAAACATTAAAATACTCTTAAAATGCTAAATAAATATTTAGCTTAGTTAAATTCTTCATTAAGATATTTGTTAATAAACGACAGATTCCACAAAACAGGTAAATTAATCAGGTTATGGCTTCATTAAAAAAAAGTTTAGTGCGGTACGACACCCTGTGCAGGAGCACCGGCAACGATGAATTCGATATTGTAAACTGGGTAAACTATAGTATATGGTGTGAGACAGGGGAGGTAGGGTGTGGCTCTCACTCTGCTAGTCCAAGGTGTAACTGAAGCAATAATAATCGTGTTAGAGTGAATATATCTTTATAATCTGTCAACCGATGAACGGTGGAGTTAAGGCAAAGTGCTTGGGAGATATCTTTTGAAAGCTACAGAAAACCTGGAGGTAGATTATTCGAGACCAAAGGAAATATATGTATTTTTATATATAAAAAGGTGCACTAGGCACTTGTGTGAGTGTAATAGTCGGGTAAAAACCGTAGACTGAAACCGGTTTGATCTTGCGGCTGGTTTTAGAGGGGAGGAGACTATCTTCCGCCCACTGCCATTTTCGCCTTATTTATCCCTTTTCTCCAGTTTTTTCCCCTTAATATATATATACCAACGGCGAAATAGATAATGCAGTGAGTGGTGACGTAGGAGGAAGTAGGAGAATGTGTAATTAGGATTGATAAAGAGTGAACGAGAGGAAGAGGTGGCCATGTGTGTGGCCAGGTTGGTGGTGGTGGCCCTAGTGGTGGCCCTGGTAGTGGCCACGCCTCCAACACCAGACACCAACAAGGAGAAGCTTCCCTTCGAGGCTGTCTTTCAAGGTAACTATGGTAATGCTAAGTATTTTTTATAATAGTTACCCTTAGAAGCCTTTATTTTCCCAAGGTACCTTGGTAATTCTTAAGTCTTGTATAATAGTTACCCCTCTCAGGCTGTTTTTCAAACGGTAACTATGGTAATCTTTAATCTTCACTATACTGAATGACATATAATACCCACAATTACATGAGGAAGACATGTGATGCAGTTTTGTATTTTAAATGCCTGACCATTTCGCCTGCTTGACAGGCTTTTTCCGGTCGAAAACAAGAGGTGATTCAATACTGGAGACACCAGAAAGAGTGAAGAGGTAAATATGAGGCGACCAGTCCCCTCAGTCTTGAAGATGTAATTTTGAGGTGGTTAGTCCCTCAGCCATGCTAGATGTTTAGCTCCATAGCTTCGAGCAATGTGAAGCTGAAACATGGGAATGGAAATTTTTATGATGGAGGCAGAAGCGAATGCAGAAGTTGAAGATGGCGTCACAGGTGGTGGGGCCCACTAGTGGAAGTAAGAAGAAAGTTGAAGAGCACTGCAGCAGACCTACTGATCCATACTAGGCAGATCCCTCTCAAATCAAACCTTTATCGAAGCTAAACGCTTACCAAGACTGACCAGTATTACTTTAAGGTTGAGGGACTGATAACATCTCTACCCCTCCTCTGCTGCTGCTGTTACCAGTACTTAATACACTTCTGTTCGACTGAAGAAGCCTACCGGCGAAACGTTTCGACAATAAAGATACCCAGCTGTTGCACATGCAATCTTATTCATCTACGAATCCTTAATCTTCTACAATAATTACAATTTCTAAGTAGTATTTCAAAGTAACCATGGCACTCCTGAATCTTGTATAACTGCTTGAAAGACCATTGCAGAGAACAAATTTTATCGAGATCTTTCGCCTATATAACTATTACGCTCCTCCCGGTTAATTTCTGCATTTCGCCTGTGTAACAGATGTTTCACCAGAATAACAGACTTTTTAAAGTCAGTCTGACTTTAAGAAGTATTACTCCTTAATGTCTATTATAAGCCATCTCTCCCTCTTGTACAATAGTTACCCTTCGAAACCGGAATCCTGTACCCCATGGCTTATTTTGACGTATTAAAATTTAACTAAAAAATCTTGTAATAATTTAACCTTAGTTTCCATTTCAGTTTTATTTAGAAAAAGTCAAGTGCATAGCTAATTTGAACTGGATAAATCATTATAACTGTGAATACTATCAAGTTTTTTTTTTTATCTTCAGAGAACAGAATACTATATATAGTACCTGGAAATATACGTACTTCTTTCAGCATATACACATACTGAGAGTTTATTGTACTTCCTCTATGGATTAAAATATTCTTGTCTTCTGGCGACAAAGTTACGTGCAACATTAATGATCCTAGTGCAATCGGTAGGCTTTAAATCCCATTAGCAATCTTAAGCACGTTTCAGTGTCCGCTCACCTGGATACTTCCATTATTGCCCCCAAGATGGATCTATATAGTTGTACACAGTGCAGTGTATATATCCCGTAAGGGCCAGATTAATAAGATTTTTGATGGTTCATAACAATCTTAGATCTGTGCCTACGATTTTTTGATACTGTGATTTGGTTAGTTTGTCTATAAAACTTTGATATAGAAAATCGATGCTATGGCGATTCTGTCATAATTCATTAATTATGATGCTAGGAAAATGATACTTTAAGGTTAACTTTCATATATATTTTTCAGATTGCTTTTGAAAATGTGTCTGAGGCATAAGAGAGAAATCTGGATTCACAATTTCAGCATTAGTTCGATAGGCATGCAGTTCCCATCATGTGAACAATAGTCACCCCCCTATACCCATCCTGTGATCGATAGCCACTCCAATACCCATCTATGGAAGGTGGTCATAAGACTGTAGAACCTAACCCAAACTTTGCCGCCCACACTACACTACCACCACTGTGGGTATGCCGCCCACAGCACCCTCTCCTAATAGGTGCCGCCCACAGCACCCTCTCCTAATGGGTGCTGCCCACTGTACTCCGTCGTGTGTGCCCCTCACAGTACCCCTAGTGTGCCATCCACACTACACTGCCCCCACTGTGGACTCAATATATTGCCAGCACTGGTGCCTGCCTCTAACTTTGAACATGATACTGTTTCAGAGAGGTAGGTAGTGTGTACTTGCCTTGTTGTGGTTGCAGGGGTCGACTCACAGCTCCTGGCCCCGCCTCTTCACTGGCCGCTACTAGGTCACTCTTCCTCCTCCTTGAGCTTTATCATACCTCTTCTTAAAGTTATGTATGGACCCTGCTTCCACTACATAACTTCCCAGACTGGATGTTCCACCTCCTGATCAATCTCACTCCAACTGGACTGCTTTCCACTGAACATCCATTGTATTCATCTGATGCTTTTTAACTTCAACTGTGTACTTTTTGGCTGTGTCCCATCTCTGGAACTGCTATGTCCACCTTGTGGCGATTCGTGTGTGTGTGTTGTGTGTGTGTGTCTGTGTTGTGTGTGTGTGTGTGTGTGTGTGTTGTGTGAGTGGTGGTGTTGTGGTGTGTGCTGTATGATCTGTCTGTGCCTCCTCTCCCCTGTGTCTGTTGTGTGTGTTTCCTGTCTCCTTGTGTGTGGTCTAGCGTTGTTCTGTGTCTGTTGGATCTGTGTGTATCTGTTGTGGGTCATGGTGTCGCTGTGTGTCCCTGTTTCAGTATTAGAGAGAGGAGAAGTGAGACCGATCCAGAAGCGCCATCCTGACACGCGGTGGCGACAGCCAGCATGTGGCTGTAACATGATACTTGGTCACCTCTGCCTACCTGGCATGACCCCTTTCCGCTTCCCCTCCCTCATTCTCTCCTACCTCCCGTTTCCACCTCTGCAGTCTTAGCCAGTTTCCTTACACCCCTGCCCGCCTAGCAGTAAAAATAGGAATCTGTGTGTTAGCCTACTGTTGTGGGTCACATCCAGGAGAAATTGTGTTAGAAACTCCAGTACCTGCTGGAACCTGTAGACGTGTGAGGTCACAGCCCTAGCAACCCGGTCCCAGACCAGGCCTTCTGGTTGTTAGCCTGATCGAACAGACTGTTGGCACCCGCTGCCTACAGTCTGGCGGATGCATCACAGCCCGGCCGATCAGGGACTGATTTGAGTAATTTGTTGAGTTTCTTCTTGAAAAATAGCCATGGGGTTTGTTGGTAACCCCTTTCCCAAGCCCTTATTATTGAAGGGAGAGTGTCGAGTCGCTGTCTATCCTTACTGAGTTCTCTCAGTGTACTCATCGCTCTCCGGTTTTCACTGGAGGTATCCCGCACCATCTGCCAAAGTTTGAGACCGATCCCTCCAGAATTTTCCAGGTGTAAATTATGATGCATCTTTCGCGCCTACGTTCCAAGGAGTATAATTCAAGGGACTTCAGGAGCTCCAAGTAATTTAGGTGTCTGAATTTATACGAGCTGTGAAGGTTGTGTACATTCTCCAGTTCCGCAATTACTCCTGCCGTGCAGGGGGGCCGTCAGTTCACAGCAATATTCCAGCCTAGAGGGAATGACTGACTCATCATATGCTTACCTGGAGTGTATTCAAAGGGTCAACGCCCCCGCGGCCCGGTTCATGACCAGTACTCTCGGTGGATCAGGGTTTGATGATTCAGGCTGTTATTGCCTACGATCCACAGTCAGGCCGGCAGGAAATGGCTTGAGGAACGTACCCAGTTCCCTTTTGAAGACATCTAGGGGGTGTATTGGTAATCCCCCATTATGTATGATCGGAGGCTATTGAATAGCCTTGAGCCCCTTATACGTATTGTGTTGTCTCAGTGTACTTAGGACACTCCTGTTTTCCATTGGGGTATATTACGACGTCTGTTTTGAATTTCAAGTTATTCAACCCATCTTTTTTTCCCCCTTGAAGCTGCGACAGCAGCAATGTTGTGCGACTTGAACGTGAGATCTCCTGATATTATCACTCCCAGGTCTCTCACTTGACTTAAGCTCTGAGTGTTTTGAGTTTGTCTTTTACTCCAGTTTTCTTTTATTTAATCAATGCTTCCCTGACGTAGTAATTGAAATTTGTCCTCAATGATCATATTAAAATTAGTATCCCAACGGAAGACTTATGTCACATCCTCTGTAAGAAAGCACTCTAGTCTCGTGTGTAAGATACTCCAGTAACTGCCGGAGGTATTTAAATGTTGGTAATGATTATCTGTTTTTTTCTAATTAAGTTAAATAACAAAATCGCTTTCATCTACCTCTCTTCCTTTCCCCTTGTCCATCCTTCCTATCCTTATCCACCCTTTCCCCCATCCATTCTTCCCTTTCTCTTCCGTTTTCCTTCCCCTTCCCTAATTCCTCTTTTCCTCTTCCTCCCTCGTACTTGTAGTGAAAAGTTTATGCATTTGTTGTCAAGAGTCTTTGTAACAGGGGAAGTTCATGTCCTTTTCTTTTTTTTTTTTTTTTTTGTTCTGAAAGTTCATGTTTTTGTGAGTTTATATTTTTATTTATGTATTTGTTGGGGAAGACACCGAGTATGTGTTGAGAGATTTACGTACTGTATTGCTGAGAATGTGTGTCCGTGTCGGTCAGATTTCGTCCCCTTGTTGCCAATAGTTCTTACCGTTTAAGGAGAGACGACAGCAAACGCAAGGACGTTGTTTGATAGCAATTTCGGTCCTGGGACCGTAATCATTAATGTTTTAGAAGTTGTCCAGAGCCCAGGACCGAAATGCTAACATGTTCCATTGTTTGCTTTGTTGGTATCAGCTATCAAGGTTTGTGTCATTGCTCTTATCCTTGTTGGGAGTGGTTCGTGTCCTTGTTTGAGTTTATGTACTTGGTGGTGGAGGGGAGGGTTTAATTCTTTTGTAATGTTCCATATGTTGTTCAATTGATTCTGATGGATTTTTCATGTTTGTAGATTGACCTTAATTTAGAATTTACGGTCATCGTAGATTCCTTTCATTTTTATTTGTAGACAGTGTCCTTTTGCGAGTGTTAATGTACTCGTTTTACATATGACGCAG